TATTATTCTTGTTCCTTTCAGCACTGAGGCCAATGCCTCGAGGACTTTAGGATTGTATCATATCACATTTCAGTTTCTGCTGTTAGTTAGGATGTGTATACCAGACATTTGCTTTTCATTTGACATTATATAGCTTAGGCTGCATCGCATGGACTCCGGATGGAGCTTGCTCCGCATCCTAGATTTCTCAGGGTTTTTTTTTTTTTTTTTTTTTTTTTTTTTTTTATTAAATAAACTCCCTTTCAGTGCTAGCGGTGCTGGTAAGAGCAGACACCACTAGCACCTGAGAAGAGGCTCCATCTATTGGTGGGGAGCAGCACCTGCTGGAAAACGGGTCCAGCGTCCAAGATACAGAAAAGATTTGGAGTATGTCAGGAAAAAAGGAGCGGGAGTCTCCTGCCAACATTGATTACTCTGGAATCCAGAGAATTGACTGAGCAGGAGTTTTGGAAAAGGAAAAGAACGTCTTCGCCTTGAACCAGGCGCCAGATGTGTGCTGCTAAAAAACTAGCTCTTCCCCTTTTGCCGATCTCCAACTGCAACCTCGAACATCCAAGGGACCAGCGTCCCCTGCTGGAAAACGGGTCCAGCGTCCCCTATACATAGTGAATCAAGAGGGAGTTTAAGAAGATGTGAGGACCGTAGATTGAGGACCGACCTCCCAGCGTTGATTGCTCTGTCCTCCAAAGGTTTAACTGTGCAGGTTATCGAGGGGGGAGGAGAATATCTCTTCGCCTTGCATCAACCACCAGGAGCTATGCAAGGTTTTGAAGGCCCTCCGCTTCTTCAGACTGCACCAGACCGTCGGATCAGTCGTGCTTTCCTGGCATCTATGAATCCTTGCCGATGTTTCCATGTGCTGCTTGTCAACCCGCAGCTTCCTTTCTTGGGCTTGTCGGTCCTTAGTCCTGCGTGAGGCCTTTCTCATTCTGCACCGTACCATTGCATGTCGACCATCGCCAGCTGGTGGGGTGGAAATGGGTCGGGGAAATCTGTAGGTGGTTGTAGTGGTATCTCCTGTCTCACCGTAGTCCAATCTCTGAAGTTGGAGTAATTGCAGAGTTTCGCTGCTTTTGCAGATAGTGTGTTTATGGCTCTTGCGATCCATTACAGGTCTGAGGATCGTGCAACGGGCCTCTATCTGCCCTGGCCTACAGCCAGGGCCTATTCGACTATTTGCCAGTTCGGCTTGTGGGACCAGGCCATGGCCTGACACCACAGGCCGTGTACTGTTTTAGTCCAGTCCAGTCCTACCCGGTACCAATGTCGGTACCAGTCCAGTCCAGTCCAGTCCAGTCCAGTCCAGTCAGTCCGCTGGGAGTATACCCCAACTGCAGTATGTATTTCCTCATTCTGCATTTGCACACTTTGGAGTACGTGCGTGTTGAGTCTGTGTCGGAGCTGCACTGTCCCTTCCAACTCCATCTCCATCTCCTCCTTCCTCAACCCTCCGTGTTGATCTTGACAGACCGCCATCCTGGCGGGTCCATCACAGCTGAGGAGTAGATCGGCGAGGACGGGTTATTTGTCAGGTTTAACTCGACAATTTTGAGTGTTGTTTCAAGATTTTTTTTTTTTTGCTTCCGTTTATTTGCTAGTTTCCTAGAGATACGGGCCACCGATTGGGACAGGGAGAGGTAGCTGTCTTGGAAGCAATCCCATCTGTCTTGGCCTTCTAGAAAAACACCTTTGGAGTTTTGCCATCACTCATGAACACTTTCTTCGAAAGTCTGGCTTAAGCGGAGGGAGTTGTTAAGCTTGTGAAAACTGACTCCTCTGGTTATGTATTGATCAAAACTGAATATCAGTTCTATTGGTTTGTGGTCCAGTCCAAGGTAGGTGGCTTAAGAGGAGGGAGTTGTTAAGCTTGTGAAAACTGACTCTGGTTATGTATTGATCAAAACTGAATATCAGTCTATTGGCTTGTGGTCCTGTCCAGGGTAGGACGCAAGAGCCAGGATATCTGCATCCTTAACAGTTCCTATTAAGGATTCGGAGGCCAGGAAGTAGTCAATCCGGGAGAAGGTCGTGTGATATGCATGGTTATTCTTAACCAAGGAGAAGGCTTTCCTGCCCGGGTACAGGGTACGAAACGGATCTACTAAGTTGTGGTCCATCATAAGTTTGTGGATAGGCGTCGCTTCCTGTGAAGCTTGAGTGGAGGTTGCCCGGGAGATACGGTCGTTGTTTGGGTCCGGGGTAGCATTCCAATCCCCTCCTAGGACACAGGCCGAGAGTGGTGTTGCTAATTGTCCCACAGTTAGTGTGAACTCAGCTCTTTCTGATGGATTGTTTGGTGGGTAGATGTTGATGATTCTGAATTCGTCCTCCTTCCATTTCAAGTCCATGAGGCACCATCTGCCCAACTCATTGTCTGTTTCTCCCCCTTGTACTGAGCTGGCCGAGCAGAGTCGGGAAGATTTTGGAATGAGGATCGCAGTACATTTCATGCTAGATGTACTATCTGAGGCCCACACCTCGTCCTTAACGCCGCCTAATTTCCTTGTGAAGTATCTTCTGATTTTTTTATGGTCTTCTGAGTTGGTGAGGTGAGTTTCTTGTAACAAAATAATGTCAGCCGTTTTTTCAATTGGTCTTTTAGTCCTTTAATTATGTCATTTACTTTATCTTCTTTATTTGTAATATTGCCAAGACCGATGATTTTCCAGCTACGAATGATTAGGCCTTATGTTTTCCAATCAACCTTTCGCCCCTTTGTATTGGCCTCTCTTGTAAGCATTTCCATGGTTGGGTTTGTGTGGAGACCATGAAGGGGCTAATATCTCCGGGTCTAGGAGGCGTCTAGGGCCCCAGGCTCCACAAAATCCATTGATTCCCCGGGTGGGTCAGACAGGGTCTCAGTCAAGGACTCGTCCAGCCTATACTCCCCAATGCTACCACTAATTTCTTTGGCAGGGGAGTTCTCCATCTTGGCTTCGGGGTCCGTCTCAGTCCAGTTCTATCTCCTCTTCAGTGTACTCATTTTTGTAGTCTCTCCAGGCCTATTGCATAGGCCCTGGAGTCTAAATCAGCATCCCCACTAAAAAAATTGTCGGTAATCAGAACAGCCAGTGAGGCGGCCTGCAGTTCCGCGGGAATGCCATTTCCTGACAGCACGCTGTAGGGAATGGTTGTCACCGTGTCCCAAGGCCGCCATCTCATTCCTCCTTTCAGCTTGGTGCCCTCCGACATTTTTGCAATGAGGGGGGTGGAAGATCTGGGGTCAGAATTGGCCTGGTCCTTTTGGGCGTCAGTGAGGTCTGTCCGATCATACTGGTCATCTTGCAGTGCTGGTTGAGCGCCGTCGTCCTGCTGAGTTGTCGGGGTGCCTGTTACAAAAATGCCTAGGGGGAATGCCATTGTGATCTTTTCTTGCAGGATGGTTGCCACGTTCTGCCCTTCGTCGATCCTGGGAATCGCGAAGGACACATCTGTGGCAACCTGCTATTCTTTTGCCTTCTCCACATAGCGGGCAGCCAAAAGTGGGCGGGTTCCCATCAGAGTTAACCTTGCTGATTTGGGTGATTCCAGCACATGGGGGGCCTTGCCTTCTGCTATGTGCTTGAGGGAGGTGAACTCGGGCTCATACGGTATTCAGTTTCTTGAGCTTGTCCGACCGAGCCTCTACTACCGCAATTTTCTGTTCGAGTTTAGCCCTGACTGTTTTTTTCTGCACTCTCAGATTCTGATTGATTTGTGCTGAATCCTTTTTTTTTCTGATTGATGGTTCCGACAGTTTCAGCAGATTGTTGGTTATCGACTGTCTAAGGATAAACCTTCCCGTTTTATCTACCCTAACCCATCCCTTCTCCCGCACCCCCCCCGGCCCATGGTGGAGCCAAAATAAGACCCTGATCCTCAGACCCCCTAAGACCAAGCACTCAAGCAGCCCTCCCTATGGCCCTATCCAGCACAACTATAGACCTAGACCCCTTGGGCGGTGTGCAGACAGTGTCTGTAAATCTTACCATGTGTTGTCCCAAGGGGTGTGTTGTGCGTTATGAAAGCGCTTCCGGTGTACGTGCGCGAGGCAATGGAGTTTTGAACCCACAACGTCGTGCCACAATGCGCATTTCCAACGGTGCTCTAACCACTGAGCTAACTGCCATCCACCATTCTCTTTCACTCTTCTAGGTCACAATCATTAATTTGTGTTTTCTGTATGCTTAATACTTTCTGTTGATTTCTTAGGCGTCAACTCTGTTTCCATTTCCTCGCAAAAAAATGGAACCTCATCATTGTGATTTGCTGTCACTCGGTCATTTCCAACATGGCAATAATCACGGGCCAGGTGAGCACTCTTTCCAAAATTCCTACCCACACTCGATTGCCATCTTCATTTGGTGATTTTCTTTCCCTGTTGCATTCATGGTTCGTTCTTTTCTGCCTTTGTTTACCCTTTACGCTCGAGTGCATTTTGCAGATCTTTCTCTTTATATCTAGCACAGTCTCACGACCTCTTGTATTTTCCGATCTGCCGCCCACCCTATGGCTTTTTCTCCCAGTCATTGCATCATCTACCATACTCCGTTCTGAAATGGGTAGAGACACACTGGCCCTTCTTGTTATTACAGGCAGCCCACTGAACATCTTCATTCTATAACTTGTCTAGCCAGACAGCTGGATTCTCTGTGTGGTGTCTGGACCATAGCCATGCTTGCTTTGCGGACTTGGCTCGCAAGTTCCTAAATTGGTGAGTAAATGGTGGCATTTGCTGACCACGGTCTTCCATTCCCTCCATTTCCATGTGACCAACCGGAAGTGCTATGCAGTCTCTAATATTGGTATAAGGTGGTAACTGATCGCATTACGTAGCTGAAATTGACCTTTGCAGAACATGTTGAAACTTGAAACGCTTCAGAAAGGAGAAGCCACACTCTATGAGATGTCCAAAGTCCCAGTAGTTCAGTGTCATGTTGTTGGGAAGATCATGGGATGGTTCAGTCATATGGGAAGATATAAGTGCTCACCCTTTCATGCGTTTGTTCCTGTGTGTGCAGAAACTTGCAGAAGCTTTTAGACGGCTAAGAAGGGCTGGGAGGATAGGCGAGTTTGTGAGTGTGCATGTCAACACCCGTCATGTAAGCTCCTCTTATTCTCGTTTACTCTTTCATTGGATTGTCTTGATGAAATTACCAGAGATTGCAGAGCAATGACACCACATTGGCCATTAACAGAGCCCTGAGCAGCCAGAGCCAGCCTACCAACAGGTGGTGGACACCCAATGGCGAATTGTTGGTATCCACAAGAAAGATCAACGAGAATATGGCTTCTTCTTCTTCTCCTCCTCCTCCTCCTCCTCCTCCTCCCTCTCCTCCTCCTCCTTCTTCTTCTTCTTCTTCTTCTTCTTCTTCTTCTCCTTCTCCTTCTCCTCCTCCTCCTCCTCCTCCTCCTCCTCCCCCCTCCCCCTCCCCCTCCCCATGTGTGTTCTGGTAACGAGGGATCTTTCTTCCATGTATGTCCCCTGCGCTCCTCCCCCTCCTCCTCCTCCTTCTTCTTCTTCTTCTTCTTCTTCTTCTTCTTCTTCTTCTTCTTCTTCTTCTTCTTCTCCTCCTCCTCCTCCTCCCCCCTCCCCCTCCCCATGTGTGTTCTGGTAACGAGGGATCTTTCTTCCATGTATGTCCCCTGTGTGCATCTCACCATGTGGGATTATGTGAGTGTGTGCTGAGTTGTGAGTCTGATGAGTCAGATTGCATTGTTGTTTCTCCTGCGAATATGACAACACACGCGCCAGAGTCATACACACACAAAGTCCGATGAAACAGTCTGGCACAGTCGTGCCGTTTTTTCGTGTTGTGTGTGGCAAACATGACAACACACGCGCACGCGCGCGCCATGTGCACATGTGTGTGTGTGTGTGTGTGTGTGTGTGTGTGTGTGTGTGTGTGTGTGTGAGAGAGAGAGAGAGAGAGAGAGAGAGAGAGAGAGAGAGAGAGAGGCACATGTGCATGCAAGTGTGATCATGAGTGTGAAACACATCTCAAGTAGCCCCAGCATGGTACGAAAAACTCCGTCTGATTTTAAAGTAAGGACCATGCACCATACCACCGCATCACCTCAGGAGGAGAACACGCATGTGAGTTAGTTGAGTCCAAAGACAATCCTTCAGGTACTACACCCAAACAGGTCACACGAGAAAAAAGAGACAGGAGTACCAGTACAACTAGAACACTGACAAACAGCACGAGGCAGTGAAGTAAGAGGCAAACAAACGACAATGAAGCTAAAGGCATGAGGCAACAAGTGGCAGCAAGTGACACAGGGTGGAGGCTTGGGGGAGGCGGGTGGGTAGGGAGAAAGTGGCGTAGGCTGGAGGGCATGGGGGAGGTGAGTTGGCAGACAAACAGCTCTAGGCAAGGAAAAGGCAACAAGCCAAGAAGCAGCAAGGCAAAGAAACAACAAGGCAGACAAACACAAAGCGGAAAAAAAGAAAAAAAACTGATGATGGATTATTTCATCAGAAGACTTGCTGGTGGAATAGGAACCGGACTGACGCTCCCCATCATGGAAGTGGGGCCAGGGCCATAAGGACCTGAGATTGTTTCATCAGAGTTGCACCGACTCATCAGAAGGCTAAACCCTCGACAATCTGCGGCATCCCAATATTGATGCTTTGGGTCATGAAACCCTTGACCCTTGTAAATGTAGACTGCCCACAAGGAACAACACAAGCGGAACATAGCAGCAGGAAACGACTCAGCGAAGAAACAGGCAACGCTGCTGGGGCAACACAACTGCACAACGCCAAGCGAACTGTATGGAACGACAGCACAAGCGGATGGGAAGCACAGCAACAGCTCAGTGAAGCACGAGGCAACATCAACAGAGCAGCGAAACTACACGGCACACAAGCAAAGAAGGGGGATGGGTAGCGAGGCAACAGCGCAGTGGAGCACAAGGCAACACCAACAAGGCAACTAGACTGCACGGGAAACACACCAGCTACAAAGAACGGCAAGCGGGATGGGCAGCGATGGAGCACAGACAAGGCAGTCCACACATCCAACATGGAACAAAGCCATCCAAGACCTACTTACATCACAAGAAGAACCCTGCAGGCTGTTGGTTTCCACCACCCGCTGAGCGAGGAAGCCACACACACGGACGCCTATTGTCACTGATAGACGATATGCACCACAGACATCACAGACAGAGTGGTTCCCCTTAGAGTCCTGCAGGCACTCTTAAACAACAGACCACCGACTGTTTAGCACTTCTTAAACGTGCTCACTCAGACACACAGAAAGTACTTCAAAAAA